CCCCTCATATCCATGGGCCAAAATGTGTACACGGTTCTGTCAGTATTTGAAAGACTCCAGTGCACAGTTGTATGATCCCATCTCTAGATTCAGTCCTGGCTTCAGTAGGGAAACCCCCCTGGACCACCACAACCCACAGATAGCTGACAGAGAACATTCTGGATTAAACCGGCCTCCCACAGGCCAACCACCACATAGTCCCTCAGATGTAGCAGAATAGTTGTTGAGGATTTATTTAAAGAATAGACAGAGGATTATTATTCATTGCTTTACTACACAATTATATCTGAAAAAATTCGAACCAAGAAAATGCCTTTTTCAGTGAAAAAAAAATGTACTCATTGTTGGGCAAAATCACATATATACATACATAGATATATGGGTGGGATGAAAGTGAGCGAGATGACATTAAAGAGCAAAACCCATCATGTTAAGGTAGAATGGTTTCCAATTTAATTTACCTTCTTTTTAATTTACCAAAAAATTGGACTGAAGTCATGAATAAGCATCACAAATAACCATTGTCACTGAAACCAACAGGACGCAGGTCTTTCAGCACTTTGTACGTTTTCTGTTCTCCTAGCTTGTCAGCTTTCACATTGAATAGACTGAAGACAGCCATTGAGAGGTCTTAATCCATACTGACTACACATTGTTTGTCAGTCCGGTTCTTTTTGTCCAAGGACAGCTTTTTTCTGTTGCTGTTCCGAGTGTAGCCACTGGATGGCGTCAGTTTGTCAGACCACTCATCGGTGTAATTGGCTTTGCATCAAACCTTTGGCCTGAATAGGCGTTTTTGACATTTTATTACAGCCTCTAAGGAGATAATTTCCCTAATAGGAATACAATACAACACGTAAAAATAACACTAGGCTTAATCATTGGCTTGCACATTTTTATCAATGTTTACCTTTAATCCACAAGGGGTTTGTGTCACCCGGGATTTTAAATGTAAGGTTACTTCTTCATATTTGTCTGTTGTTGTATGGCCCAAGCAGACAATTACACAAATTAAAATCTCAGAATTTAACAAGAAAATGGAAAGACATTAACACAAACTATAGGAAGGGTAATATAGCAAAATGCTGAATAGACCTGTTTTGTCCTAATTCAGAATCCTAGTTAAAATGTTGATTTGTGATGACTTGCATTGATTCTCTATTTTTAAGTTGGTCTTGGTTTGGCAAAGCTTTCCTGACCTACCGAGTAGACTTCCTGTCCGTGTGCGTGAGCTGCTCGTTTATCCTGATGGCAATATTACCTGAAACGTTTTAAGTTATTTACACACCGTCAGTCAGTATAGCTGTGTATGGTATGTCTAGTCAAGTGCAATGGTTGTTGCTATTACACTGTGCAGACAAGGTGGCTAGATGTATAGTCCTGGATATTTTTGAGAGATACACACATCCCGGTTTGGTATACATAGAATTACATATTTGGATACAAATAGCCAGACATTTGGTTTTTAAACCCCTGTTTGTCATGTTTCTTGTTTTTAATTTGTGGTTTGATTCTTTCACAGTTTTGGGGGACGAGGTTTAAGGGTGTCGTTTGTTCACAGAATCCTTGTGTGTTTTTTTGAGCTCAGTGTATGTAGTTCTGAATGTTGTTGTGTTTATCTTAGGGGTTTTTGTTCCTGTATAAAGCATAAACACCAGTGGCATGTCAATCACGTTGCTTATCGAGCAGAATGTATACCGTTTCTATGCCCTGACCGACCACACCCTCACTATTGTTTACAAGACATAAGGCGTGATTTCCGTTTCATGTGACACCTTTTTTGACGGTTTAAGCCCTGCCTTTGATTTTATTTCTGTAATCAGTCATTTATTTGAACCACGAAGGCTTGAAATGGTGATGATTGACACAACTGACAGGCGATTCCTCCCCCTGTCTGCGGTACACCGCTGCACCGAGCAATAGACTAAACGCATCCATCCGCAATGATTCTCCAAAGTGAATATTTAAATAACTAAAAGTGATTTCTGGATAAATTGAATACCAACTTAAATCAGTTCTCTAATGCACAGTAGAGCACTTGGCCGTGGTGATAGAGATGCTAGCCTGACCCCACCTCAGTCAGCAACATATTACCTCTACTCTCCTCACATTCACTCATAATGTATATGTTTGATTTGTTATTTGTTTCTTACTGGACATAAATATACATAATTGCTATTTTTTCATTCTATAGAATCACGATTTCAAGCCTTTTTTTCTAGTTTTTTGTTTGTTCCTTTTTGATTAAAACCCAGACTGTAGCTATTTCTTTGTTCCTTTTTTAGAGTGGAAAATGACTAATAAAAAGCATGGAGAACTACTCTTTAAATGGTGAGAAATAACCTATTTATTATCTTTTTTTTTTCTTTTTCTGACACCTGTGGTATGTTTTTAGTTGAAGTTGGTCTCCGCTGTGTAAATTTTCCTCCTTGTAATGCGTGAGAGAGACATACTGTACATAGCTCTGTAAATAAAACCTCCCAGGACGTTTTGCACCCTCCTCTTTGTACTAGTCTGAAAAATTGCGTAGAATGTGGGGTTCTAACAGCAACGAGCTGCGTGCGCTTGCTGCAGGTGATTATGATGTAACAATGTAACATTTTTTTATTTGTACAATGTAGTTTATTTGTGTACATATTGTTGGAGCAGCTAAGAGGGGGGAGGGGGGTAAACGAGGGGGGTTGTTGATGCTATCGTCAGTGCTGTAACAGAAATCCAGTACTTTCACCTCTAGCTGTTGTTGATTTCCTGCAAAAAATAAATAAATAAAAATACATAAAAAAATAAAAATGTGAGAAACTGAAAATGAGGATGGATGAGAAAAAAAAAAAGACTAAAACTGAAAAGTAAAAATTCTAAATTGTTATTTTCTACAGTTGCATGTACAGAGAGCGCGAGAACTGCTGTTGTTCCTCAGAGATTATGTTCGTTAATAAAACTTTGAAATATTACCTGCCGTGCTCTGGTTCTTGATTTTGCGGTTCCGTTGTGTGTCATGATGTAAAAGGCTAAAACCACAAAAGACTATTATCTTGCAAGAAAAAAATAGGTGACAATGAAAAGTATATCCTTTTTTCAAAATGAATCTAACTAATAACATTCATATAACCAACCAAGTTGCTATGGTTCTCCAAGAGACAGGTTTCTATTGATTGCAGGATGAGGTATTTGTATTTTCAGTGTTTCACAATCTGAATGTTTGAAATGCCTTCTCGGTCAGGACCGCACTCTTTGTTTACAGCTTCTACATATATGTCGGAGTTCAGTCTCTCCCCCTTAAGGTATTTGAAACAAATCAGATTGATGTTCTTTTTTATAGTTGTCTAGCTTTATTTAAACATCTCTGTGTGTCTTTTATCTTTGCAATTACATCACTCGTTGGAGTCCTGTCACCTAACAGATCACACCATTCTTACCGATATTCTGGACATTACCATGGGCAGCGTATACATGTTGGTTATTACAAAATAATCAAGTTATAGTATGTCCTCCTGGTTCCCACGTGTCCTTGAAATCAGGTCAATGAAACCTTTTATAAGTAGACATGGCTCCTTGAATATATACAGTGGAGGAAATAAGTATTTGATCCCTTGCCGATTTTGTAAGTGTACCCACTTACAAAGAAATTAACATTCTATCATTTTAATGGTTGGTTTATTTTACTAATGAGAGACAGAATATCAAAAAGAAAATCCATAAATTGACATTATATAAAAGATAAAAATTGATTTGCATTTAACTGTGGGAAATAAGTATGTGATCCCCTGGCAGAACATGTCTTAGTACTTGGTGGAGAAACCCTTGTTGGACAGCACAGAGGTCAGAGGTCAATTTTTATCTTTTATATAATGTCAACTTCTGGATTTTCTTTTTGATATTGTTATTCTCACTGTTAAAATAAACCTACCATTACAACTATAGACTGTTAATTGCTTTGTAAGTGGGCAAACTTACCAAATCTGCAAGGGATCAAATGCTTATTTCCTCCACTGTATATTTAGTGAAAGAATTGTAATTGAAGTTCTTTTACTTAGTTTTTCAATTTATAAATTACTTCAACTTGCACTATGGTTTTGCAGTGCTAAGTCAAAGTTTAGAGGGCAAGAGATTGCTGTTGGTAAGCTTTTGTAAAGCTTCCTGGTCCTTATTATAAAAGCTCCCTGCCATTCGCTTTGCATCAATATGAAAGTACTTCAGGATTTGAAACAAGTAGAAGTTAAGCAAAATGAACATCTGTCAGCAGACGTAAGCTTTTAACTTTTCCCTTTATAATTACAATTCAAATTGTTGTGAAATTAGAAAACAATTTATCCTAACATGTGACATATAATGTAGTTCAAATGTAAAAGGTGCACTCAACAGATTTTACCCATTAATCTCACGCAGCACTACTTAGCCTGTGAAAGCAGTTCTATAACACCTTAAATGGCCTTGGTAACAGTTTGTAAAACATGTTGACTAACGATATTAAATTGTCAACAGAAAGTCTGCAATGGGACTAATCTTATTATTCCTCAATAGCTTTAATTTTAACCATTGATTTATTTTGTCTGTCACAACAATATTTCAGCTTTATAGAAGTCTATACTAAACAATACCAAATCTTTTGACCAAACCTGGGACTGGGAAAAGTTCATATTTTTCCCAATGGAAATTGAATTATAAAAGATTTGAAGCTATTAACTATAGTACCACTTGGCCCAGGATCGGCTGCCCAAACCGCAAGCTGTCACGACATTAACTGCGTCCCCTCAATCACCTACTGAGTCACATGGAGGCACGAAAAACATGATGATTAGCAACATATGTGTGCTAACTTTAGCTGTGAGTGTGCTAACTTTAGTGTTGTGTGACTCAGGGGCCACCCTTCAGTGAGTCACTGAAGCATCAGGTGTCTCATAGGTCGAGCCCCAAGTACTCCGCCCTCTTTCTCCCCGTGCGCTTCTTCAACTTCTACTGGCTGCGGCGCGCCCCTGTAGAGCTTGCGCACTCAATGCGCCATGGCCAGAGAAAGGACTGTCACCGTAAACACTCTTCCTTCAATGGATTATGAGACAAGGATTTCCCCTCACATCGGCGGCTATGGACGCTACAACCGACTCGTGGTGCTTTTCAGCTGGTTCCCCAACTTTGCGGTCATGCTGAATCTTTTTAGCGACGTTTTTTTCACTCATATCCCGGAATCGTATCACTGCAAACCCGATCCGCAGCTTCTGCCCTCCACTTTCCTCCCCATCAGCTTCTCCAGACAGGGGTACCTGAACCTCACCATCCCCTGGGTGAACGGCAGCGGCCTCAGCCACTGTGAACTCTTCAAGTACCCATCAAATACCTCGGACTTCTCCGAAAAGGTGCACAGGGAGAGGGTGTCCTGCACCGTAGGGTGGGAGTACATCCATGTAGCGGGGCTGCAGAGTAACTTTGTCACTGAGGTAAGGAACAGGTCATCTTTCTGGTCTGAGTGCGTGTTTGGCTTAGAGTTAACCAGGTATTTTGGCTGAAAAAAGCATTAAAAAAAACGCTTTTTTCGGATCCAGGTTGTTGTATCCATACGTTGTTGTATCCACACGTTGTTGTATCCACACGTTGCTGTATCCACACGTTGCTGTATCCACACGTTGCTGTATCCACGTTAACATCACCACAATAGTCGTTTTACTAACTGTGGAAATATTTATATTGAGAGACAGTTCCCTTGGTCGTGTCACTTTTACAACTGATTATTTTGAGTTTGGACTTGCTCCAAGATGGTGGTGCTGAACTGGATGTATTCCTCTAAATTAAAAGCAGTATGTTTCTTCTGGAAGCATGTGTGGTCATGAAGGCAGCTGTTTGAGCACCATTCTGTCAATATTTGCTCACCAGTTCCAACTTTGTTAATGCACAGTCGTGTTTCACTCTCATTTATCTGCTGTCTTGCACTCTGTTTCCCAGGGTCACAGATAATCATGCAGAGGAAAAAATAGCATATAAATACATTCAATGTTTATGGATTTATTCAGGATTAAAACTGAAGTATTGGATCTGAGTAAGAGTGTGTGAAAAGACAAAAGGGCAAGTGTAGTTGGCTTTGCTTTCAAGAGCTATTTTTTTGTTTGAGAGATTTCCGAGCTGATAATGCATCCTCTTTGATTGTCTCGTACTTTATGTAACTAGTGTCTGGACACACACAATGGGTTCCAATGTGACTGTGTCTTGTTGTGCACCTCCATGTGTAAATAAGCAGTTTATCTTATCCTCAGTCTGTTTTTTTGGGCTTCAGCTATTTAAGGATCCATCCCATCTCTGCAAATATTGACAACAAGTTCTAAGAAAAATATTCCTCAACGTGACCCCGTGTAAACACCTTACACATCTGTGTCAGTGCAGTATGTTGTAACACATACTGAAACAACATCAGAGTACTAATCTCTAAACCACTGTAGAGATATTGAGGGCTGACAAGCAGGAGGAAGTCATTAAGGCTAATTCTCCTTCCACTTATCGGCCAATTGTGTTTGTCTATGTTGTTGGGTGTGTAACGTTGCCCCAAGGAAACAGATCCTGGCAGTGAGGAAACTTTTCCTCATTTACCCCCCCCCCCCATGACAATCTGTGGTGCAGGAAAGTCTGAGGCCTTCATGTTCCTTCCTGAGACCCTGAACGCCTCCTTCCTCAACTACAGCTTCCTCTTCACATGACATCATTCACTGCGACAACACTTTAGTAAAGGAGGAGAATAATACAGTAAAATCCTGCTCATCATATACTGACACAGCTGCTGGATAAAATAACACATTAGGGAACAAAAGTCCTTGACTATCAACTTGGAAAAGCTCAAAATGTTGTTGTTTTTTAGAACGAGGTTTTCATCAACTACATCTCTGAGACCATTGCCTCTATGGGGTCAATGTTAGTGAAGATCTGATTGTGACCCTTTTTCCTTTTCGCCCTATTCATTAGCTTAGCATATGATGCAGTTTTAGAAACCAGTGCACCATCAAGACAGACTATTTGGCCCCCATGTACGCTTGTATTAAAGCTTGATTACTTACTGTGAAATAACCTGATGTGCAGGGGGACACTGTGTCAAAATCTAGTTTCAAGAGTTACATAGTATACCTATAATGTTCATATTCCTAAATAAAGTGTGTTTATTCAAATAACCATACAGCAAATATGGCAGCGTAATGTTCCAGCATTGGGATAGCGCACACAATACACACAGAGGTGTCGACGGAGCAACAGGGATCAAAAGGACTCCAAAAAGGTTGTGGCATCAACAATAAAGATGTTCTTTCAACTTCTTTGGACTACAAGTGTTGCTGGAGTTTTGACCCTTTCAGTTTCCCTTCTTAATTCAGCTAGCTGCTTTGTATCCATAGTGTCTGTAAATACTCAATGTCATAAAATACCTGGACTGCACACAGAGAACATGGTAGAGGAGGCAGATGGAAAAAGACACGGACGAGAAGAAGACTTGGCTCTCAGGCAGCGACTGGTACTAACCAGGCGCAGAGCAGCTGGCACGCTCTGCTTTGAGCACCACGTTGTTCTAATGTAATAACACTGTCAGCAGACATCTTAACTCAATTATGGACGACATGATCTACATTCCTGCTTCCTGACAGAAATCTCTCTGCGTTTGTGTCAAATAACGATGAAAGAGGCTTGTTGGAAACAATTAGTTCATGTACTTTTTTTATGTTTTTAAATACATTAATCTTCTTTTAGAAAGAAATGTAGTTACCTACATATTTATGATTTATATACTTAATTCAGAGATTCCTTAGAGAGTGCTTTACATCAACTGCTTATCACATGAAGTAGGCACTGGTTTGAGTCTAAAAAATGTTCTTGTATACTTTACTTTTTCTTCACTTTTAAAAATGGGGATTTTAATCGTGCTTTGGTCCAAATATGCGGCTATGGTGTAAGCTTAGTTTTGGCTTGTAGAATTGGTCTGATTTGTTTTGGGTCAGATCGTAATAGCTTACAAGAGCAAACAAAGTTTCAATAGTTACAATATAATATATATTACTATGTATAATATATTATTGCTAATGTCCGCTAACCACCTTTAACAGTTTGACTTAAAGGTCATTTTGTACGGCAATTGGTCTCTTTTTACGCCTCATCAGATAGCAGTGCTTTGTATTTGTAAGTTCATATTGGGTTTTGTTTTCTCACAGTTTATCTCAATGTACTTCTTTGTCCTCCTCTGCAGTGGAACCTGGTTTGCAGTGACTACTGGAAAATCCCTTTGCAGCACATCTGCTTCATGACAGGATGGATTCTGGGATACATCCTCCTTGGTACATTGTGCGACTGGTAAGTCATAATCATACTTTATATGGAAAGTTAAGAAATGTTTAGTAAGATGTATGGTCTGAGATCATTTAGTAATGTAATAGTTTAAGAAGTAATTAATCCCAACTCAATATTATAAAGAGTTTTATTGGATATACTTTATTTCATAGATCATTGTATATTTGAAAAATATTGGTGTAGTTTAAATTTCGTAATTATATTTTTCCTCGTGACGGTATTATTTTATTGAGTTTTTTTTTGTATTTCTTTAAAATCATAAAACTGAGTTACCAGCTAACATTTGCTGCCTTTAACAATATCTCTTGACTTTGATGTTGACACAAAACATACAACTCTACTACTACTACTTAGCCAGTTAGATTGGCACTATCTGCATCCTTGTACAGCTGAATAAATAACAGGAGATATTGGTTTCTGTGTCTATTACGAATTGTAGAAAAGCAGACTTCTGAAAAAAGGAAATTTTAAGATAAAAAAAACACCGACATTTTTTGGAAAATACATTCAATTATAATGCGTTGAGTTGAATGTTTTAGCAATAACCTTAAAAAAATAATGATTCATTCATTTTTTACACAATCATATGAATTATTTTTGTAATTGCTTATTTATTCAGTCAATATAAAAACATTCAAAAATGTGATACGACAATAACGGGACTGTTTGTGTGTTTGCAGGCTGGGCCGTCGGCGGTGTTTCCTGCTCTCCATCAGTCTGTCCAGCCTGCTGGGGGTGGTTGTGTGTCTTTCCAGCAGCGCCGTGGTGTTCATGCTGCTGCGCCTCTCTCAGGGCGTCATGCTCGCCGGGGTCTTTGTGTCCTCGTACATCGCCAGTGAGTATCCTGCACACACATTCAAATGTTGTCCCACTTATTCTGCAGTTAGGCTTCCTGGAGCCTTGTTCAGTAACAAGCCTCTCCACCGGACTGGGAAAAAACAACCTCAGCTTCCTCAGACACGAACGCTCACTTCTTTGTTTACTTTGGAATAACGTTTGGATTTCTTAGCTCCGCTCTGAGTCATTCGCTGGTGCTGAGTTTATGCAAAGGTCATGTGTTTGATAAATCACATTTCTTCCTTTTAATTTGTAACTGGGATTCTAATGTATATGACATAAAATGACATAGAGTATCAAAATTGGTGCAATAGTAATAGAGAAAAAATAGTAGTAATAAGTTAAATACAGTGAGAGTAGTGACATATTACAGTGTATTAGTTGTTTACAGTTCAAGACGTGCTGCTGTTTATTATGTTTAAGTGTGGGGGAAAGTCCCACAACCCCATATGTTCTCAATATTAAATACTACTCATTTAATATAAATACTTTTTGCTTGATCTCATCTTTAAAGTTGTTCTGCAGCCATTGTTTTGCGGACCAACACATTACATGTTATCTCTTGCGGAAAATCTAATGTTATGTAAATGTTATCTAATGTTAATGCAATAAATCATGGCCTTGTGATTCCCAGCGTAGAATAAACTGTTGTCACGCGGGTTGCATTCATGTAGGTTCCTGAGTTTTTTTGTGAGCAACCACTGCACAGTTGTTTCAGCACATTACTCCCTAACCTTTCTACCTAGCTATCTGCTAAACTGCCAATCGAAAAATGCTAGTTGATTTATATTAAGAGGCTAAAAACAAACTGTGGATTTTGTAATTGTGTATAATAACTAAAGCTAAAAACCATGCTTTTCTTGGAAGTTGAAAAGAAGGGATTTCCCTTTTAAGAGGCATTCGGTAATGGACCCAACCATTACCGAATTTTGATAAGGGCACAACAGTTTCTCACTACTGTAGTCTTTAGTTAAAATGTAAAATGTAGCATTCGCCCCTTTTTGACTGGCAATCTTTATTTGTTGAAAGTTCTTTAAAAAAAGACATTAAGAGAAATGCATCATTGAAAGTGCTTCAATTTATTGATTTGTGAGACACCAGATATAAATTAGCTCGTAAACTCAACAGAAATCGCTCGGCACAATATATTGTGTACAGTGCAGCCAGACGTTGTTTTTATTATAAGTCAGTCAATCAGAGTTCAAACACAATCGTTACAGTGAAGGCCAAGACCAGGGGACAGGTAGTTTTCAAAAATAAATTAAACTGCATTCCTTCCTGCATTATTTCCTGTCAACCTCAGCGTTTTTAATCCAGTGCAGGAGTGGCGACCCTGCCATCAACAACTCAATCTACTTTGTAGAGAAATAATTACAGATTATAGACTAAAACTTTAATTAGCAGTGGCAATTTAAAGTCCTCATTTAATTTGACATGCATCGCTGGACATCCTGACCATTGATTTAGGCTACAATTGCTTTCCTAAAATGAAAGATTTAGGCTTACATTTCTGCTTTAGCGTGGGTTTGTGTATGACAGACTCTTTGCAGCTGTGTGTGTTGTGCTGCACTCTGACTGACAGCAGGCAGCTGCTTGTGCTTTATTACTTTTACCTCTCAGCTGTCCTGCTTTTAGTGGCCGTACCTCCCTGTGGCGAGGCCATAGATCCACGTGTTCATCATGGCTTTGTCTATGATGAGATGTCCTTTACTGCTAGGGGTATATAGTATCTCTCATACAGCGAGTTTCCATTCGGGAACTGTAAACCAATAATGAAGCGGCAGAGGAATGTAATTGCGTTAGTGTTTGTAGAAACTGTGCACATTCCTGCGTGGGAGATGGGGGTACAAGGGTAGGGGCATCATATGAAATACACACTCTTAGACACACCCTATTTTCTGTTTTTAACACACACAGTTACTCACACATTCCTGCAAGGTCAGGAATAGATTGAGTCCAGATTTTATTTTTAAGGGTTATGTTGATTTTGGGATGGGTGTGTTGGGGGCCTGGGACAAATGTTTCTCAGAGACCTGCCAGCGCTATCTGAGAGGAGAAAACAATAGCAGGACAGAACTCAGGTCGAGGAAGTGAGCAGGAAGTGAGCTTCTCATTTTCCTTCTCTCTCCCTCAGGCAGGGAGGAAATGGAAAGAGAATCGGAGCTCTGGGGGGGAAAGAGGTTAAAGTTCAGCAGAAACTCACACAGCTTGACGCACTTCCAAACATGTTTACATTGACACCTTATCTCCTAGCAGCTTTATTTTCCTTGTTGCTATAGCTTTATCGTTTTTCAGATTGTAGCAAGAATTGGCTTTGCTTTGTACATTCTATGAAATGGATAACTCTAAACCATTATATCACCTCTTGTAACCTTAAGTACTCAATAAGCAAAACAATTATTGTTTGTTGACATAAATGAAGGAAGTTATCTCTACATGTCAATATCACATCTTTGGGAGGAGAAGAAAAAAAAGATACGAACAGAAAAATGTTTGGCTTCTCCATTTTTGGAGTGAATAAATTCAATCTGGTCAAAAACGTAGGGAGGTTCTTACTTGCCACTTGTCCTGTATTGAACCAGTTCCACATGAGGGCATAACCTGAATAAAAACACATGACAACATACTTCTGACTGTAGCTTTATGTGTGAAGGGTTCATGTCCGGACAAGAAATGAATTGGTTTTGGACAGATGTATTAGTTTTGCTTCAGCTGTTTGATGAGATCTGCCTCTCCTCTCTGTCTGTTCCCACCGCTCTCTCAGGGTTGGAGCTGTGTGACCCCCCCAATCGTCTCATGGTCGCCATGATCAGCAGCTTCTTTAGCGTGATCGCAGAGCTGCTGTTGCCAGGTATCGCTGTTCTGTGCCGTGATTGGCCCGTTCTTCAGGCCGTGGCCACTTTGCCTCAGCTGCTGCTGCTTTCCTATTGGTGGTGAGTCAAGTGGCGTTATCTGGAGTGCGGACATGGACACGCCGTGTGTGTATTTGATGAAGCATTATGGCCAGTCTATTATTCTACAGTGGTGCTTAACGCACTGATCTCACATCGATATCAAACAACACACTCAGACAACTTTAAGTATTATACATCAGCGAGAAACACCTGAGGAGAATGAGTGTCCTTCCTTAACTCAGGTTTGTTTTGCTGATTATTCCAGTACTACGAGGACCTTCAAAAACTGAAGTTTGTGCTCTTGTGTTTGTACTCACTTAAGATGTTTGATAATTAGTTACATTTAATAGAAAGGCTTTATTAATAACAAAAACTGATGTATGCTGATACCTGCTACATTTGAGTGATATCAAATAATGTTTCAATTTTCTATATTTTCTTTGTTCATCTTTCCACCCTCTCTATATAACAGAGTATGTGTGAATCCTGTCTCTCTGAGGTATGAACCGTGTTGTTGTCCTCAGCTGTGTGTCGGTGTTTCCTGAGTCTCCTCGCTGGCTGATGGCCACAGCTCAGATCCCTCAGCTGAAGAGGAGTCTCCGGGAGTTCTCCACCAGGAACGGAGTTTGTTTACGAGATGAAATCTACCCTGGAGAAACCCTGCTGTCAGGTACACACACAGCCTCAGTGCATATGTTATTTGCAACATCATTAGCCTTTTTAAATCTATATATTGATTGATTAATTCATTGTAAATCTACTACGCTTGATGGCAGCAATTGGTAGAATGTGTCAAAAATAGATAGTAGTGAACCCTTCCCTTAAACCCTGCAGAATGACTGAAAACCTTTGGCTGTTTTGGGCTTTAATTGTTTCCGGGTATTATTTCCTCCTGTTTATAGAGATAGATACAGCCTTCGGTGAAGACTGTCAACCAAGGTACTTTTCAATTTTGGAGCTGCGTCGAACTCATGTTATCTGGAAGAACTGCCTCATCCTCAGCTTCACGCTGTGAGTTTTGATTCTGGGTGTGAAATAAGGAAAGTTCCTTGGACTTGTCCATGAAATTGAAAGGCTTTCCATTGCACGATATGAGTGGGATGCATGTTGAGTGTTGGGTTTAATGGATGTGTATGTTCTCTCCCTGTCCTTCAGGTTCATTGGAACTGGCATTCAGTACTGTTTCACCAGAAACCTGCACAGTTATTCCTCCAACTTCTACTTCAGCTACTTCCTTCGAGTGATGACCGGAGCTCTGGCCTGCGTCTTCATCTGCCTGTCCGTCAATCACTTTGGTCGGCGGGGTATGCTTCTGCTCTCTGCCATCATCACCGGCCTGTCATCGCTGCTGCTGCTCGCCCTCACTCAGTGTACGTTACACAGCTTCTCTTCACATCGTTAATTTGGATTAGAAATTCAAATGTATACAAGACACTGTAACATATGTAAATTGCTGACGGTTCAGGGTCTGAGATTTTAAGGTTATAGAATTCATTTAATTTAATATAATGAAATTGGACAGATCACCATTGCAGTTTATATATAAAGGAATCACTGTTGATTGTTTTCTTATCCTTCAGGTCAGGACCTAACATGAAACTGTATATGCATATCATGCATTTTAAGCATACTCCACTCTTTACATTTTGTTTAGTTCTTATTGATATTCACATGACGAGTTTAAAGGTTGGCACTCATGCCATTGCTGTTAATGGTGCTGAAGTTCTCATGTTTTCACAGAGAAGTCATTAGTCTGTCTGTGGTCCTGTTTCTGTCTCAGATCTGCGGGGGGGCCTGGTGATGGTGCTCTCTGTCTTGGGGCTGCTGTTCTCTCAGGCTCTCGCCATGCTCAGTGTGTTGTTCGCTTGTGAGGTGATGCCCACTGTGGTTCGGTAAGTATCTTCTTGACCAAATTGATCAAGTTATTTATTTTTATTGTCAAAAAATCCTATAAAAAATCCAAAGCAAAGACAGAAATAATGTTTCTAGCAAAGATCCCCTAGAAATGCTCTGTTTAACCTGTTTCTTTAACTTTTGCTAGAAAAAAGCACAGCTGTTTTAGGAAATAGTTTTGCCTACAAATCTAAATAACTATAATGTGTAACCCATTATCAAAGTATTGTGTTTTCTGTAGGAGCAAATAGGCTTGGGGTTGAGTGTTACAAACAGGTTGAAAGATGGGAAAGTATATAAAGTTGTCTGATCTCACCACTTTGACGCCTGTTGATTTCTCTTCTCCTCTCCCTCCCTGTCAGAGGCGGTTGCCTCGGCCTGGTGCTGGCAGCGGGTTGTGTTGGCATGGCCGCCTCCTCCCTGATGGAGCTCCAGAACAACGGGGGCTATTTTCTCCACCATGTCATCTTCGCCTCCTTCGCCGTCCTCTCTGTTCTCAGCATAATGCTCCTGCCTGAAAGCAAACGCAAGCCGCTCCCAGACTCCCTGAAGGAGGGCGAGAGCCAGCGCCGGCCCCCTCTCCTCCTGCCCCGGCCCGACAGAGACGACCTGCCGTTACTCAGCACCCGGCCCCCCCTCTCAGAGTACAACCCTGATAACTACTCCCGCCTGGTCTCTGCCACCAGGAAGATGTTAACTAAAGAGAGTTTGCCTTATAGGATCGCTGTGCCAATGCATGCCCCTCTGCTGTCGGACAGTGAAACACAAGAGGATGGAACTCTGAAAGAGGTCATGTCTTAATGACCTCTCCTTTGTACAGACTCGGACTATACCTCCTCCTCCTTCTAGACATACCTCCACAGAAAGTCTACCACCATGCTTCATTTCATTATTGTCTAAGTCACTCACTGGTTATAACTCAACTGATGAACTGACTTGGCTTGGTTGCAGTGCACTTTAGAGCGACGGCTCCAAGCGTGTACATGTTTTGGACTCTTCTCGTTACATTTGTCTTTCAGAGCTGTTTGTGCTGCAGCAAAGAAAAACTGTGGTGCTTCATTAGCAGCTTAAGTGTTTATACCTTAGCCTTGCTCGTCTGTCTGTCAGCTTACAAACCCAATCGTCAGACACTATTTTCCCCAGAGAAGCTCGCTCAACCGTGAGGCTGCTGTTGATCATGTGGGCCGCGGTGCTTTGTCCATTTATTAGTGACTCTTTTCATGAACTCATCCATCTCATTGACGGGGTATGCTAAGGTAAGCTGTGTCTCAGTGCTGAGCGGATCCCCAGGACACACAAGACAAGTTCACTGTCTTTGTGGAGTCTTGTTATACTTGTGAAGCCCACAAAGGGGAACTAAATGATGCACTGAGTATTGAATCTGATGACAGAGTCAAAGGATATGACTGTTTTTTTTTTTTTGTATTTTAATTGTGCCCCTAACAACCTACCTTGTTTATCCAAATATTTCACTTGGAAGTGTTTGGGGAAATGTTGGTAAAGGGATCTGTGTAGGAAAATAGCACTAGATACCAACCAGATGATATTGAATTCAGTCTGGATGATACGTTTGTCTGCTTTATAAACCACTTTGTCTCAAAGTATTATTTAAAGGTGCTATTTCTACCTTATGTTTCCGTTAAAACACTGAATGTAGCTGATGAATCTGCAGATGTACTAACCTCTGTAGCTGGCAGCCAAAACTGTCAGCAACCTCGCTGTTCTCAAATGATTATAAATTGTGTCCTTTAGTTTGTTATTAGTCCAAAAAAATGTAAATGGTTTAACAGAAAGCCTTAAATGAAGGGCATTAGATATTTTCATAATAACAGATACAACCTGAGTCAATATTTAAAATAATAAAAAGTGTTTTATGTATGTAATGTTTGAGGACTGAGGCGCATGTTAATCCCATATCATCTTGTTGAATGTTGAACACTTCAAGGTCGCCATGTTTAATAGAAGAAAAACACACTACTTTGTTTGACATTCAGGAGATGTGTAATAGTTCACCTAATGTATCCGCACAGTTATGAGGTTACTGTCGGTGAACAAATAAAGAAGATTTTGTTCCTCCAGTAGCTCAGAAAAACAATTATTTGTCTTTTATTTTCATCCTGTTTGCAAAGTGAAATCCTTAGAAACTAAAACATATTTTCTTTTTCATCCATCATCAACATCAACCAACATTTTAATTTGTGGAGCCACAAAGATAGTTTGCATCTCTTCGGTGGTTACACACTAAGAACACTAGATGGAGCTGTGGACACGTACTGTACTACTTCCTGGTTAATTGTAAGCACACTGATGTTAAGGAATATGGTTGTCTGTGTGTGAGTGTAAGTGTGTATGCATTTGGAATATACTGGTGAGACTTTGTCAACATGTTATTGTCCAGACACAGTTCTATTTGCCCACAGCAGCTTCAATCTCACAGTGGTAAAGTAGGATAAAACAACCAGATGATGCAAGGTAAAGTTAACGTGAAAAGAACCACAAAAATGTATTTTAAAAACAAGTTTAAATCCAGTTAAATAGTCAATTGAATATGATACACCTTCCCATTATTTGCTAGGTGCTAAACCTACATTCCTAAAGTTCAGGGGTAATACCCAAAGGTTAAAAGGTAGCACACACAGATCTTCAGGACAAAGCAGAATACTCTTAATTTCCATTATGTAAGCAATTAGTGCTATTAGTCGACTCTACTATATTCGGAACGTGTGTGTATTAAAACATAGCTTATGAATTTGATAATGTTATAACAGCATGGAGGGCCAGTGTGAGCAGGAGGCCCAGTGTGCTGAGGGAGTGCACGGCTCCAGTGTTCAGGGTCTGGTAGCCGTAGCTCGTCCTGCAAGTATTCTTCACCTCGTCGTATGGAATAGGAACATCATCTGGACTCTTGTCTCTCAGACCGTCACGCACCTGACAAACAGAGATCATACCGTCAGGCAGCAGACAGAAAGGCACTGTGACAGGTGTGTGTGTGTGGGTGTGTGGGTGTGTGACAAAAAAACAAGAAACAATTTATTTAATTTTTGTAACTTAAATCAGTGTGTTCAGTTGAATGCACTTCTGCATACATATGTGTTTGATTGCTTTTGACTCAGCAACTTGATTGTCTTCTGCTTTATATTGTTGTGGCCACTATGTACAGAAAGTAGGAAAATAATAAAATGAATTACTTACTAAAGAAGTGAGATATCAGAGCCTCAATAACCATCTCTACATAACAACTGCCTTGAGTTTTTGGATGATGTCAATATTCACAGGGCATCAAGATGTCACTTTCTATTCTTTTGAATATGACATAAGTTATACATATAATGTGTGTCTCTCTAACCCGCTCAGTCTGGTTCAGGACTCGGAGCAGGTTGTTTCCCAGAGCAGCTTTGACGTCCACGTCGCTCCAGCCTCTCCTCAGCAGCTCAGCCACCACTTTGGGCACCTTGGACACGTCCTCCAGACCCTCGGGCAGTCTGAAAGGGAATCACATTTTACTTAAGAGAATTCCCCGATTGTCTGTGTGTTTCACAGTTTAAATGTATCTTCCCAGTGTTGACAGGAAGCTTAACGTTTGAAGGTTTGTACTCACCTTCCGACCCCATCATAATCTCCACCAAAGCCAACGATGCCCGCCCCGCCCACTTTCTTTATATGGTCAAAGTGATCTATAATAAAAGGTAGAACCATCATACCTTTTTATCAGGAATATATGCAGAAGATGTAGAGTCAGAAAACAACAATCAGACATTAATAATTAAAGGTCTTCTCATAGCATAGGAGGTAATCCCAAGGCTCCTGGCTGACTGTAACAGAGTGAAGGAAAGCTAAGGATGTTTACAACATGGAATATATATATATATTATAAGTAGGACTGAGCATTGGAGATCTAGAGATAGCTTACTGTTCAATATATTGCAATACTGCAAGATCAGAGTTGAAAGAGTTTACCCTTATTTTAAATTGCAGTGGGATTTGCATTCATCACAGTACTGTGAGAGGGCACATATCTTTGTAAATGACTTATGAATAATTAACCTTTGCATTGAAACTAGTCATTTAAATCAAACAGTGCTTTTAGGAAACATTTCAAAAAACCTAATATTGCAATACAATGCTTTATCAATATGAACTTACATCATTAGCTCTAAGAGATAAAGAAACAATTACAGCAGACATTACATGTTCTTTTTGATAACATACAATATAAACTATCAATGTTCGTGGAGAAATAACATTAATTATGCCGCTTTTTATAAACGGGACTTTGGAGAACTATATATGGACATTAAAAAGATGCTGAAATCTATAAACTGCCCCCTGAGACATGTATGACTCTGTGGTTCTCTGATTGTTACTGTGTTGTACATTGGCAGTTGAACAAGGGAAATTAAAAAAAAGTAACATAAAGCTGTAAAAATGAGTGGATGGAGACAAGGAATTTTATAGACGGAATGATAAATGTTAATATTCAACCAGGTTAACAGCCTTCGACATGACAGTAGTTGTTACCTGCAACATCTGAGAGGTTAGCGGTCTTGCTGCAGGTCACGTAGTCGTTGTAGAAGTTCACCATGACGATTCCTCTGGTCTCGTTCTGGAGAAACAGGATGTTACATGACTGTGAGCAGTAACTGACCTCGAAACTGTTATCTAGGATGGAGCTGTGATGTGGGCCAAGAGATGTACCTACACTCACAACATAAGAAAACGAGGGTATTGACCTCTGTTGTCTGAATCTAACAGCCTGTCTCTTGGCTATAAACACATTTATCTTTATCTGTGTGTTTATAACAGTGCTATATAATGTTAATAACCATCTTCTTATTTATAATGTTTTCCAACAGGATACTCCCTTAATGCATGTGTCAGTAAAAGTCGACACAAGAGGGACATTTCCAACCACTGTTAACCCTTTGGTGCTTTAAAAACCTTTTATGGGTATTATTGGAGATCATAAGCAGTAAAGGCAGGATGTTTCTTTAACAGGCATTTCACTGCGTTATCTTTTTATTCTTTTTGCCTTTACATATTCAAATCACTTCCAATATGAGAGGTGGAATGAAGCGTAATAACATCGTATCTCTCATATTCAGGTATTTTCATGTTATGCCTCTTGATACTGCATTTGCATTTTAAACAACATATTTTATTATTTTAGGTTTGTTTATCGATAGCTTTGGTGACACACACACACACACACACACACACACACACACACACACACACACACACACACACACACACACACACACACACACACACACACACACACACACACACACACACACACACACACACACACACACACACACACACACTCACCACTCTCCTGAGAACATCATCAGGGACGTTCCTCTTGTGAGGACACAGGCTGTAGGCGGAGGAGTGGCTGAAGATGACGGGGGCTGCCGACATGTCGAGCACCTGGTGCATCACAGCCTGAGTCAGATGAGCCAGATCGATCAGCATGCCCAGGCGGTTCATCTCAGCTATTAGTTGCTGGTGTATGTAAGAACAATGAATGTACTTAAAATATTAAACTAGATACAGTTCCTGTTATATATATTGTCACAAGTTGACCCCCTTCATGATATAACACGTTTTATTGCTTAAAAAATCAGATTGAACTTTGTGTTTGGACATTTCTGAGAAAAAGCCCAAATAAATATTTGATTAAATGTTGAAAATGTAATGTTAAAAACAATATTATTCTTTATGGGCACATTTATGAACACACTTAAAAAATAGGAAATGGGAAAAATATTTTGTCAATTGTTTTTTCAAATAGATATGTATTACATTACCTTATTATATTATTATTTTATGTAATATGTAGTTATTTTAATAATAATCCATATTTGTTATATAAAGGAATTCTAGTATTTCTATCATGAGTGTGCAGACATTTGACTTTTACACATGGTACAAGTGTTTTATGATGCTTGTAATAAATAGGAGTTAGCTGTTAAGAAATTCCTATTGTTTAAGCCAGTAAACAGTAACGTATTACACTTTTAAAGCATCAGTTGCCCATCCCTGCTGTTCGCTGACCTTGCCAAATGCAGATAGGCCGTTGTGTTCAGATGGATCCGCTCCAGTGTCGACAAGCCAGTTATCCGCCCTGAGGAGAAAAAAACAGTTAGGACTTCCCCAGCAGATTTGGTGCTTCAAAGGTCACATAGTGTACTTTGAAATGTGATAGTGTTATTACAAATTAAAATATATATATTTTCCAAACTCATACAAACCAAAGAAGGTGAACAAATACATAGATTGACTTTAGGAGGTGTCAGACAGTTTTCTAATCCTTTGGGTATAGTTCATAAGGTTTCTCCCGACAGTTACATAGATTTAGCCTCCTAAAGGGATCAAAGTGTTTCAGTGCTGAACTTCCAGATATTGCTGCCTGGGGACAGCCTGCAGGAAACCCCCAAACTCCCCTCAGCACAACTAAACTGACCATGACAACTGACAGTTATAAAACAGAAAAAGATATGACCGAGCCCCACTGAAAGCGCAGCCAATAAATAGATGAATACTTAGACAGTGTGTTTAAGCTGCCCTTTTTTGGTCACTTTTAGTCCAGTAGGATACGACTGAATTGACTGTGGACGATGTCTTTGTCTATGGTGTTGTTTAAGTGTGTCTATAAAAACATGTGCATGTGTCTGTGTGCTCGGGGAATGTAACAAAGTGCCTTTATTAAGGTAGAGATCTGAGTTACTTTAGTTGAGTATATCATGATAGATTGTACTATTTACTCCACTACATGTATTTGACAACAATAGTTACCCATAGTTTACAAATTAAAACATTACATATGGAAAAATAATTGCTTTCAGAATCTTTTAAATTGAACAAAATAAAAACCTTTGAGCTGAAATGATCAACACACACAGGTAATTAAATGCACGTGATGGATGCGTGTCACATATAAGGTCACTTGTGTTAATTTGCACTGTGTTTACGAGGAGTAAATGTTCTGTGTGTTGCTGCCTCTTACCAGGGTGTGTTGCAGGAGTGTGTGAGTGTGAGGTAGCGGACCCCCAGCTGGTACATGAGACGCAGGGTTCCCAGACTGCTGTCCAGGGAGTGACCCCCCTCCACCCCGATCAGACTGGCTGTCTTGTTCATGCTGAAGGCCGTCATGATGTCTGAGCAGAGCAAACATGAGTGTGATTCAGAGACAGGTGTGAGTGGAGGAAGCAACAGTCTCTGAAATTACTATAGTCTCACCATGGCTACTGGTGGCAAACATGAAGGTTTCTGGGTATTTTTGACACATCCTGTGAACCACGTCTATCTGCTCCAGTGTTTGTCTGACAGCATCTTTGTACTGACTCTCACAGGGAACATATGCAGACCAGAACTGTAAGAGGAACAGAGATCATGTATTAATTATCAACATGCCCTGTATTCAGGGGATTGTTATTGACCCGATAAGTTCCTAATTAGAATCATATCCCTTTTTGTATTGCTTTATTGATGATTTATTATGTATGTTTTATTTATATGACCTGGGTTGTGAGCTCACCTACTAAATGGCTGCAATAAAGCTGGTAAAATGAAGATACACACAATGAACCCTTAACATTTGCACACAACACATATGCTTGTTTTAAACAACTGTGTTCAACATTTTAAAGTTTTTTACCAATGTGTTGCTATCAAAAAATAAATGTCCTACTCCAGCTTACATAATATTCAAAGGTAGTTTATTCAAGGCCTAAGAATATTTTCTGGTGTCAATAAAAACTGATAAGTGATAAATCTCTCTCTGTATTCTGAGCGAGGTTCATCCAATTCTCTTGCTTAATTTATAATGATGAGTGCATGATTCAACACAAAAATAAAACAGAGATGAATGTTCAATCTGATAAATACACATGCAGGGTACAACAGTTAGGGATTCACTGACTTTCTCACCTTTTCAAAATATCTCAACCGCCCGAATACGGATCTGGGCTATTTTTCACATTGTTTAAAATATGTATGCATTAAAGGTGGGGTAGGTAATTTTGGAGAAACCAGCTCGAGTGCGCTAGAATTTGAAAAATTAGCCGGCCCGGCTAAAATGATTGGTCGTGCTTTTTACAGTACCACAGCTTCCACAGATGACATTTTTTTATGGATTTTTTGTCAAAGCACTTAAGATATTCATTGCTATCGGGATGTTAAGAGCATTCCATGGAATATAACAAAACGTGTATCTCGAGCCGGTTTCTCAAACTGACCTACCCTACCTTTAATGCAGTGGTTTCTATTAATGGTAACACGAGACTATGGATTGCAGTGACACTAAGCGATGTAAGCGGTTGGCAAGCTGTGAATGAGCGAATTTACAAAGAATGCAAAGATCTACAATGTCTCTGAGATAATAACATTTTTAGATCGGTCTTGCCACAACCCGATCTTCCTTAATATAGTCAGTCAAAGTAAGATACTAAACCGCATGTGTGGAGAAAGTCTTCACATCCTATTTATTGGTTGTACAACATATTATAACCTATATTATTGTACAAGTACTACTAATGCAGTAATGTGCATACAGTTTTGTTGTAGCTGGTTAAAGTAAAGATATGTTAATATATATATATATATATAAATACTGTTGTGTAGTTCATCTGTTAAAATGTCTCTTATGTAAAATCTTTATCTACATATCTACTTTATGCGTCAAATAAGGGGTACGTATTGTAGAAGAACAAAAATAATTGTATCTTAAATGTAATAGTGTAGAAGGATAAAGTAGCAAATCATTGACACACAAGAAAACTACGAATACCTCAAAATAATGCTTGTGTACAATACTTGAGTACATGTACCTATTTACTTACTACCACCATCAAATATGCTTTTACTTTGTTGCATAAAGAAGGCAAGAATAATAAGTCAAGACTAAAAACGTGTTTTTGAGCAGGTAAGTAAATGCTTAACACAAACAGGTTTACTTTATAGAGAGCCGGGTCCTCTGCATACAAATTGATCTTGGCTCACCTAAAGTTCCTCTCAATTCTGTTTGGAACTTTGGGAAACAAACCTTTGCTATAACAAAATCTTTTGGAACACATTTATCACAATTTTCTTTAGCACCTTAATGCTGCTCAGTACAACTACACTTTGAAATATCAAGTGTTCTACTACAATGTTTTATATTATTTATTTAAGAGAGGGGAGGGGTTACTTGCAAGGCAAAAGGTGTTTATGAAGTGGTTAAATATTTCATTAGATTGAATTTGAAAGATTTTTGGAAGACAGGATGTTTGTCTCAGCAGACGAAGAATCACATGACTTTGCAGGATGGTTTTCTTTCATTTCCCAGTATTATGTTCCGCACGTACTTGCGCTCCCAGTCGTCCCTCCTTGATCTTTGGGATGTTGGTGTGGGTTGTATCCAGCGTGTTAAGATCCACTTTGTTGAGCTCATTGTTGAATCGAATTCGAAGCTGCCAAGGCAGGTCATTATGGCTGAAATATCAGGAAATCAAAGGGTTAGAGCGTCAAAAGCCTTTTCTCAAGACTCTCATCATAAACTGTGATTTCACAGCAGGGAGGTACTGCCCGTTTTCCCAGATCACCACTAGAAATTGCTTCCAGAAGTGAGTTTTCACTACCAAACATAAATCATTTACTGCTTTTGCTCATATGGCAAACAGCACATAACCTCAACAGAGAAAATCATAACACGAAACGTTCACTAAAAGACTTTTCCTCTTACCCGTCAATGAGTGGGGTCTCAGACATCAGCTGCAGAGCTCTGGTCATGTATGGATCCTCAGCCGCGGCACAAGAACTGATCCACAGCATTAAATATGCAGCTGAGATAACTTTGGACAACATTTCCTAAACTTTAATACACTGTTAAACGATCTGCCCTTTTTTTCTTTAACCCTAACCCTAACCCCCTAACCCTAACCCCCTAACCCTTTAGTTCTCTTTTAGCTCAATCGCAAGATCCCACTTCTTGAACCTTCTGCAACCTCTGACCAATCGTGATGTAACCTCCTGCTGCTGAAACAGATCTCTTTCCTGGTTTGCCAATTGCCAATCTTTTAGATTTTAGTTTGAAACTATACAGATTCTTGAAATGATCCACCCAGCTGTCTATCTGTTTCCGTCCGATTCAGCCACTGAAGATCAACTCTGCTCATCGCTCCTGCTCTGTTTTTAATCTGTTACTTATTACAGTGTCAGCAGTCATTAACGCAGCACAGTAGCTTATTAACTCTTACAATCTTACAATTGTTAACCAATACATATTGGTTCACGTATTATGTGCCTTTTAACTGCTTTTCTAAAGTCACAACATATGCTCACACACACACACACACACACACACACACACACACACACACACACACACACACACACACACACACACACACACACACACACACACACACACACACACACACACACACACACATGGAAAATGGAAACTACGGAAAAAAGGGATCAGCAAAGCCCCAAGGAATTGGTCTTGGCGTTGAAGCGTTATTCATAGAGGCTCAGTGGTATTCATCTTCCGTGTTTGTCCGTGACGTCACTCGACTCAAAATGAATAGTTTGACTAACATTGGGAAAGACACGTATGTAAATCAGTATATCATTTTTTTTGTAAGGTAAATCAAATATTTGAACAGCCATTATTTAAATAATTTAGTCTTCAAAATTGTAAAATGGTGAGTCCAGAGTTTTTTTCCCACTACATTCCTTTAAATGAGCCAAGAGGTTGTGGAGGCAGGGCTTCAGTAAAACCCAATGGCCATTAGATGCACAAGATCCCTGGATGATCCGGGTATTTCTGTTTTCGAGAGTCAGGCCACTATGGTTTCATGTGCCACTGAGCAACTTTCAAAGGAATTAACAGGATAATGTTTATTTCGCAGGGCAAGCACAGAGTGTAAAAGTGGGCAGCATAACTGTCGACTGTAAACATATTTAAGACAGTAAAAAAGCCATCTTTATACTTTGTATTTGTATTGACATTCTCAAGTCTAAAAATTAACGCTAACCACAAATAATATGAGCTGCACAGACAGTGTCAGGCAAGAAAGAAAGAAGCGTTTTGCAGCTGGATTAAACATGGCTAGGGCTATTTGTTATATTTGGCCAATAGTGCAAGGAACACCCACTGTCTGACACCAAGAGTGCTATTTGCATTTCCTCTTTTCATCACATGTTAAAGCCTGTGTTGTGTCATCATAGGTCTCTCTAACAGAGCAGATGCACAGAGAGACAGCTTAGCAACACAGACAGGCACAGGCAAAGGGGAACCTGGACCAGCCAATAACATAGCCTAGTATACCGTTTTTACAGGTTGGATATGGCCAGGTTGGATGTCGCAGAGACCTTTCATGGTATTTTGTTTCCGGGACACCTGCACACCCAGGATTCCTTACAACTTGCTCTCAAATTTCCATTTCAGGATACAGATATCGTCATTGTCTCCTATCCAAAGTCAGGTAAGAAGAGACAAATAACTGACCGGTCAGTTATTTGTCAGTTATTTGTCTTGCTCAAAGACGCTGCAGATGTCATGTATCCTGCAGGATACATGACATCTGCAGTGTCTTTGAGCCTTTGAGCAACTAACCACAGGAGCATGTTGAGTAACTCATTGCAGTCATAGATAATCATTTAGGTATGTAATACTATGAATGCAATCTAAATGACACATTACTACACTTAATATGTTTTTGCAGTTTTACTTAAAAAAGTCTGATCAAAATGCTCCTCTCTTTCCTCTCAAAAGGCACCACATGGATGCAGGAAATTGTCACTTTCATATCCAGCAGAGGCGACCCACATGTGTCCCAAACTGTACCAAACTGGGCTCGGGCTCCCTGGCTGGAGCAAATTTATTTCCCTGCTATACAGGAGGCATCCAACAGCACACCTCGAGTCATCACCACACACCTGCCTCATCACCTGCTGGGCCCTGCACTGCAGGGCTCCAAAGCAAAGGTCAAATATACATGTTTATTTAACCTTTTGGACCTTAAAGTATAGAGATAGTCGAATATTGGCCAGGCCAATATATATTTACTGCAGACATTAGTGTATATGTTGTGTCGAGGCAATAGCAATAGAGTAAGGCCAAAGGTTGGAGGTAATTTGGAGACAGTGTTACTAGTTTCAAGAGGGCACTGAGATGTTGATATTTCAATCTTATTCAATACAGAATCTGACCCTGTGGCTCGTTTCATCTCACAGGTCATCTATGTGAGCAGAAACCCTAAAGATGTGGTGGTGTCTTTTTTTCACTTCCACAAAATTGCCAACTTCTTCCCGGAGGCTGACTCATTCCCAGAGTTTTTAAATCGATTCCTGGAGGGGAAACGTGAGTTTTTCAGGAAAAAAAATCTATATTTATTTCATTGGTCTGTACTGTTATGCTGACAAAAGGTCATCTTTTATTTGTTTCAGTGCACTATGGTTCCTGGTTCGACCACATCAAAGGCTGGACTGGTCAGATAGGAACTATGAACAATCTGCTTCACATCACATATGAAGATATGTCGTTGGTAAATGTGATTTATTTTACCATCCCAAAAATAATAAATGTCCCCAAAAATTATTTTGTAAAATGTGATGTTTATTTTTTAAATATATTTAACAGGTACATTTTTTAAAGTGTACAGTTTTCTTGTAAGATATTTACTTATCTTGTTCCCCGATCATATGGGCTAGGAAAGAAGAAGTTAAGGGTGAAGTTCACATGTGAACATGTTTCTGTTACATGTCATTTAGGGCTAGGTTCCTTGTTTGTGTGTTTCAAATGATATTATTGTCGTCTTCCTGCTATCAGGACTTACATGGCGCCATACAGAAGGTGAGCTCTCACCTAGAGATTCCCCTGCTGGAGGAGGAGGTCAGCAACTGTGTGAAACACTGCAGCTTCAGCAGCATGAAAGACAACAAGATGGTCAACTACACCCTGATCGATGAGGAGATAATAAATCATGGCAAGGGCTCCTTCATGAGGAACGGTGGGGCTCGGTTCTGTTATAATCTGATAAAATCACAAAGTACTGTAGAACAAAAGTAATGTAAAAAATGTGTGTCACCATAATTAGAACCTGTTATCAATTAACAAATTAGAATCACACCTAAAGAGGAATCCAATGGGTCAAAATACAATTAAAAAGATAATAAATGGATTCTTTCATTTCTGCAGGCCTCCAAACAAGAATCCTTTAAACTAAAAGAAAATAGAGAAGAAATGTGAATTAGCATATTCCCAAGAGTGTCAAAATATTTATTTCAAGGATTTGTTCATCTGAAATTTTGAAAATTAGTCAACAGGTCTTTATTTTAAAATCATGATCAGTTGAGAATAACAAACATGTTTTTGTATGCTTCAATAATACAGTATATATAAATTCACCTGTAGTTTTTAAGGTTTATAAAATCCTGTACTTGGCCTTAAATGAAATCCCATCTGTTTATCTTCCCCTCAAACATGCAGGTAAGATTGGAGACTGGAAAAACATGTTCACAGAGGAGCTGAATCAATATTTCCAAAGCATCTTCGAGGCAAAGATGAAGGACTGCACTTTAGAGTTTGTGTGGGAGGAGCAACAGAAAGAAGAGACTCAGGCTAATGAACAAATCCCACGGAAGAACACAGCACTGTGAAAAAAGCTAGACAGTATGTTTTATCCTGTGATTCAGATCACAGGTGGATTGTTTTCTTCTTGGTTGAAATGTAAATGATAATAACAGAACATAGCTGTCTACCCTTCAATGCCTCTTAAGAGCACGATGTTACACTTGATGTATTCTATGTTTTGATTATTGTTAACTATGAATAAATATCGGTTAACTGAATCCTCTTACAGTTGTTTTTTGGTGCAGTACAAGTGGCACTTATGGTTGCTAGTGTGCAGCACACAAAGCTATTATCAGTAACTAAAGCAGAACAACAATGAGCAGAGAGAGGAACCGGTCAAAGGTTATCCTAATAAACCTCCTCATCTTTTCACTTCACACAACCAAGAACAGTTCCTCCTCCAGTTTCAAAGCACAGGAGAACTTTGATCCAATTCAATCAAGTGTGTGTGTGTGTGTGTGTGTGTGTGTGTGTGTGTGTGTGTGTGTGTGTGTGTGTGTGTGTGTGTGTGTGTGTGTGTGTGTGTGTGTGTGTGTGTGTGTGTGTGTGTGTGTGTGTGTGTGTGTGTGTGTGTGTGTGTGCGTATGTGTGTGAGTTTAAATTAATATTCAAAACACTTTATTTGTATCCATTATTTATGTAAATCATAATAAGAGCGTACATACGGTCCAAGTGTATGATAACACTGTGTTCTGTGAATGCGAGGATGAACTCTGATAACTTGTAGAAAGGCATCAATCTGCTAAAGGTTGACATAAGCATAAATGTATGGAGGTACAATTTATTATTATAAATTATTGTAGACGTTAAAAGGTTATTTACAGGTCAAAACAGATGAAACTCCAAACTAACTAAACAACAATTGTGTGTGGGGTCAGCTCGGTGTGAAGTAGAGACAGCACTGGATATGTAACATCCTGTCATGTTTATTGATTCATTTATCTCATAGTCTTGTCATTGCACTTCCTGTTTTATTTTGTACTCAGGAGCCGAGTCAGAATATATTTGCAATGTAGTTTATATTAAAACTGGATTCAAATGTATGCTGCAAAATAAGTTCCAGAGATTCCTGTTACATGATATGTCATCACACGTCATTGGGGCTTTTATCCAAAGTGACTTTTAATAAGTGCAATCAACCACGGTGATATAAACTCAAAATCCTGTATATGTGTGTGTGTGTGTGTGTGTGTGTGTGTGTGTGTGTGTGTGTGTGTGTGTGTGTGTGTGTGTGTGTGTGTGTGTGTGTGTGTGTGTGTGTGTGTGTGTGTGTGTGTGTGTGTGTGTGTGTGTGTGTGTGTGTGTGTGTGTGTGAAACACTTAGAAAGCCAAACCTTTCTAAGTGCTTACAAAAATGTGAATTTATTTTTTAAATGTAATTTACTGATTATTTATTTTGTTTTTTATTTTGTTGGTTGCGTCAAAACAGGTGTGTTTTCAGTCTACGATGCAAGATGTGTTGAGTCTCTGCTGTCCTTCATTTCAGTTACAACAATACTGAAATTCAAACCAGTGGACTCCTGTTGAACAACACTATGTCAGATCAGAGAAAAAGACAAAAAAACCTACTGTGGAGCAATACATCCTGTTGTATCCTCAACAGCGTTGTAAGATGTTGTGTTGTAACAGGTACACTGTAATATGGCATATGCAGAAGGTTGAAGTTCATTTCTAAATGTAACGTAGGAAAGAAAATGACTCACTGTGTAGATCAAGTTATATTTATGAATTTATCAGGAACAAAAGTAAATGGAATAGAGGAAATGTGACTGTGACTGAGACAATATACAGTAATTGCGATGACACGTTAAAAAGAAGAAACTACTCTGACAGTGTTTAAGCTGAAAAAATATATATCATTTTATATTTTTGCAGATTTTAAATGCTTGAGTGCTTTGAATATCAAAACTTGGATGAATAAAACCAAAACCATCTGTATGATCAGTCAACAAAGATAAATGAGAACATGTTCTTGTTAAATTCTAGTTTTTTTATGCCTGATTGCAAAGAAAACCTTAGCACCGCAGCTTGATACTCGAGTAATCACACGTTCACAAAGGAAAATCAAGCTTGACAGAATTTAACTAATGTGCCTGTCAGCATCCTTGGGGCTTCTGGCAGCTTCTTTCATTGTCCAGTTGCGACTGTGCCCGTGATAGATGGTGATAGACAGATGGTTCCTCCAAACATCTGCAATATATTTGGAAAGTGCCTGATCTTTTCCAATCAGCAATAAGCTTGTTAGAGTTGAACTGTGTGCTGCCTGGAAAGTGGACAGAATAAGGTGGCAGCAGCAGGGGGCCGTCATTAAAGCTGGAGTCAAGTGCAGCAGTTTGTTGTTTATCTCTCTCGGCCACCTGTATTTAGCAGATCCTGTTCTGATTAATATGGCTGATCGCTCAAGAAATTGCAGGCATGCCAAACATTAAACCTGCAGTGCACAACATGAGACTAATAGCCTACAATCTGGGAAACACATAATAACTGCACATGATTTCCAACAAATCTGTGGACAAAACTAGCCAAATAGCTCTTTGGTCAGGTGATAGGAAGGCGGTCTTGCAGTTGGTGGAGAGCAGATGCAGCTGGCTTTATAAGTTGGATACAAATCTAAACCCTTATCTTGCCAATATGAGAGCCGAAAGACAGCTTCTTACAAAATGACGTCTTTTAAATTCTAGAAATCGTGTACAGAGTAATCAAGGTGACAATGACACACACACACACACACACACACACGTCACTTGTTAGACTCTTTTATCCAAAGCGACTTACATACGTTCAATACTGTGGACAATCCCCACAGGAGCAATTTGGGGTGAAGTGCCCAGGGACATAACGACATGCTGACTGCAGTGGGACTCGAACTTGCTACCCCCTGATTCGAAGTCCAGCACACTAACCACTGAGCCCCACACACACACACACACACACACACACACACACACACACACACACACACACACACACCAACACACACACACACACACACACACACACACACACACACACACACACACACACACACACACACACACACACACACACACACACACACACACACACACACACACACACACACACACACACACACACACACACACACACACACACACACACACACACACACACACACACACACACACACACACACACACACACACACACACACACACACACACACACACACACACCTAAGATATCCCTCTAGCCAGCAGGTGGCCTTGTTTATCCAGCGCGTATCTCTCTGGCGGAGCAGAGGCATTTAGGAAAGTCTCACTGTGTTGCTCTTTTCAAGGTTTCTGGACAAAATGGTCTTAAAGTGCACTCTACCAGTTTCACAGGTAAAGGTCAGTGGTTATCATGAGAAGTACTAGAAGTACGTACTTTGGGTAATTTGGGCTTGGTGGCTGAATAGATAGGTACTAAAGTCAGGATCTCTCAGCCTCTGTTCCTCTAATGGTGAACATTCTCTTTCCAATGTCTTTCTCGCAGGTTCGCCAAAATGTATAACAATCAATCACTGGATTACCACTTTGCCAACATTTCAAAATGAGGCCTGAAGAGAATGTTTTTTTAGATAATATACAGTGTAAGTCAGTTTAGAAACATTACTGTAAAAGACACAATCAACATCAGCATTTCTTGGTGTAAACAAATGTATTCAATACTGTATTCTAAGGTCAAACCTGACATATGGTACAGATTTATAGTTGACTGATTAAATTAGACTAAAGCCCTTTCCCAGTGGACAGTGGCGTTTTTATATGTACAAAAGTGGTGGGGCACAAAAAACTTAGATGTCTATATATAAGCTTCTGCAGTGACGTGCAGTGAGGTTCATGGCTGGTGAGGCACTGACTCTTCAGGTTTACAAATATTATATTTTGACCTAAACCAAAATATAATATTATTTTCAAAAGCTTTTTTTGTCTGATGCTTCGATTAATTTTAAACAGACAGTTCAACAAAAGGATACCCAAAAAATGTAATTTTATCATTTAAATATTGAATTGTTCTCTCTTAGTAAGATCCCATTTTCAATAAAATGGCGGTCTTACCTTGACTTGAAGATGAAGTCCATTTTCCTATCCTTCTGGACAAACATTTCTATTACTTTTTTGTAAAAGTCCTCCTTATCTTCTTGTAGTTTCAAAAGTCTATCATAAATCTAATCCATAGATTTATGATAAAAAAATTATAAAAGTAGGGTAGACATGTGGATGTTATCCGGCTAATCAAAACGTGCATTTATCTAACAGGTACGTTTCCCACAGATCTTATTTTGAGCTATTTTCTAAAATCCTCTGGAGAAATCTCATTGCTTTTTTGTGCTTACTTCCTGGTTTTAGGACGCGCCACTGCAGCTCTCTCGTCTCCTCTTCACACAGCACACTTTTCGCGGCACACGTACTTACAGCCAATCAGCTCTGAATGATTTGAGATGACGTATGGTGGGGATGGTAGCTCCGTGCCCCTCTGGTCATTATTTTTTTGCCACACATATTACATTACAAAATACTCTGAGCATGCGCAGTGTAGTTTTTACAGTCACCGTTCACTTCACAGCGAGAGGAAGGGGCATAATCAGGTTTTGTCCCACATGGCTCTAAACAGCTCAATAGGCACACACTGTGACTGTAGACACACTAATTAGAAGAACACAGACTAAAACAGCAATGTACAGACGAATCAGATGATTAAACATGATCTTAAAATATATTTTATATATTTTTTTATTTATTTTTTTGCATTTTTGTAATCATTATTTGTAATACTTTCTGCTGACACTAGGTGGGGCTGTGCCCCACCTGCCCCTAATGACCAGTCGCCACTGCCAGTGGAGTGAGTCCATCTGTCTTTGGTTGTGATGTGAGAAAAAGCCACTCTATCAAGCTTCAGTCACTTTGTTGTTGTGGAGAAGGAGGAGGGGTGCACATCAGCTGACCTTTTTCTGTATGCTGTGGTATCGCAACATGACAACCAGTGAGAAGAGGCTGGTGGAGAGTTGTGTGCACTGTAACATCTACTACATAGATTCATGACACCAGACAGCCCCGACAGCATAACACACTCATACACACTCATTGTGCAAACATCTTCCTAAAAAGCTTAACTTAGGGAAAAAGGAACATCACATATATTTTTGTTATAAGGCAGCTTAACTCTGTTTAATATCTTCATAAATATATATATCAATCACAAATGTTTTTCTCTT